ATTTGATCTTGGAAATTATCTGAGGAGTACAGGGTAAGCACAGACTTTACACCGCTGCACCAACGTTTGTCTCTCAGTAATATTGAATCAGGTTTTTTTTTGTTGTAAACATGTTTCTGACATTTCTAATAACTGATAATGTATTATTCTGATGACGATGTCGGCCATCAAGCCCCGCTTTAATGTAGACCATAGCGATGAACGCAATTCAGGACATATTGAATCAAGACACACTCACCAGTGTGGGGCGCTATTCACATGCTGTAAGAATACACCAGAAAATCTAATCATGGCCTCTTATTTGTAGAAACTCCACCGTCGTGTTATTTTAATCTAACATGACAAATGTAATGTATGTTGCGATTTTTCAATTTTGAAAAAAATCTGTGGAATTAATATTAATATACAACAGTTTGTTTTTATCATTTTGAACTGATTTTAATGATGAAGATAAAAACATAAAGATAATGCTATTGATATTTATTCTTCTTCAAAAAAAATCTGAATTATTTTCAAAGACTCTCTGACTTTTAAACTAATTGTTGTTCTAGGGTGGGTAAATAAAATTGTAAAAAAAAACAAAAACATTTTTCTTGCTTTTTGCCCCTTCCAATTTGTATTTAAATGAATTTACATCTCATGACACATCTAATAAATAATAACAACAACAAAAAAGTGTTTGTAAATTTAGATAGGTTCTAATAACGGATTCCACATTCATAAAAATGTCTTGGAAACTGATGTGTTGACAGCAGTGTTTGCAACCAAAGCCAGATACTTATTTTGTTTCTAAAATTTTGGGGCGTACATTTTTTTTTTTCAACTTTTGGTGCAACTTTTATTTCTATAATTATTTTTTATTTGAGGTCATTCTTATTATAATATATATATATAATTATATATATATATATAAACAGCACTGTAAAATGATGCTAGACTTAGAGTATAAAATGTATTTAGACTCACCACTGATATAATGAAGTTGCTGGTAATTCTTCTGCTTTCTAACGAAATGAATTGATCTTTTTGTCTCTCCTAGAAGGTTTTGAAGGCAATTTCAAAAGTTTGAATTATTCTCACGTTAATGTATGATAGCAGTCAAAGCAGGAGTGTGTGATACATTAAATATGATTGTTGCTGTAGCCAAAATATAATGTTTATCTCTAATTAAGATACATGTACAGCAGAATGTCACGTATCACATGCTCAAAATGTGACCATTTGCAGACCCAAACAGCTGCACACAAACGTTTGAGCACGTATGAAAACCATCATCCTCTCAGAGCAGTGTTAAAAGGGGTTTTTGTAACACTGCACCGAGGGAGCGAGTCCCTGACCCTCACAGCATTTCTGGGAGAATGATGCCTTTTAAGTGGGGGAAAGAGCTCATGTATGTCACTGCAGAGGTTGGTCGTGCCATGACAAGGTCAGAATTTCAGCCAGTACCGAAGAAAAACACTTCACTGACACCTACTGACACCAGTCCATTTTTGTAAGAACACCACAGATAAATGCCGGAGGCAGTGCTGCAGGAGTCTTACCTTTCAAGTGTTGGAATTCCCGTTCCAGCCTTTTCCTCAGCTCCATCTGCTCCAGCAGTTGCTTCTGCAGTTCTTCTAAGGAGGACACAGAGTGGTTTTTGTGAGTTGTTTTGTATTGGCTCCCTTCTAGGACAGGGTTCTATTTTTAATGACAAGTGATGAGGACTTCATCATTTACAGTTTCAGTATTTAGAGCAGGTCTTTCTGGGCCTGAAGTCCAAGTCCCCTGGAGGGATTGGGAGCAAAATAAAGTAAAAAAAAAAAAAGAAAAAAAAAAAAGAAACTGAGATCAGACTATCACACAGGCTGCTGATTCAAGGAATATCAGCTGGAAAGGGATGGACAGGGAAATGTTTATTTTTCCTGCACAATCCACACATGAAATAACCTGCAAGTGAAACTCCAGGAACTTATTTTAATTTTCAGCATCTAAAAACCTTGAGTGGTCAGTTTTACTATGTATGTTATTACTAGTCTGTGTTTTTGCATTTACCTGAATTTGTATAATTGGGTAAATATTGTACAACTCACTAGTGTGACTGACCTAGATCAATTAGGTTTGAATGACTTCATCCACCAAATTCAGTAAAATTGTGTTGAAATCTATATAGTTAAAATATAAATAATAATTGTATTTTTATTTGAATAATAATTGCTTTCCTAAATTCTATATATATATATCTGTATATATAGTCCATGTTTAATTTTCATTTTAAATTAATATAACTTAACCTAGTTATGCTTTCTCGTATTCTTTAAGCATGATCCTAATAATAATAATAATAATAATAATAATAATAATAATAATAATAATAATAATAATAATACCTTTTTCCAAAGTTTCTACGTTTCTTTGTGATGGCGCAGCTCTGACTGACGCGTTCTCGCCTGGATAAAGACAAATACATATGATTTCATTCTTCTTTTGTTTTTTCCCTCCCTTGAATTAAAAATAACTGTAGTCCTTTGACCGTGTCAGTGCGACCTCAGAACACGCCTCACCTTCCTCCGACTCTCTTTGGTTCTCCTCGCTGCTTTGTCCACTGAAGGATTTGTTCTCGATCTCCTCCACCGTGGAGGATGGCTCCTCTTTACTCGCACTCTCATCTTAAGAGGAAATAATTTGATTTCGTTGTCAGCATTTTTCGATTTTTTTTAAAGCTAAATGATGTAAAATAAGCAGTGAGAAATAATGTCTAACCGCTTTTGGGGAACAGCCCACCGTGGTAGTTGGCAGCTCTGAAATGATACGGACTGCTCCTTTGTTGCAGCTCACTCCTCTCGGGTGTGTAAATCTGAGGGAGAAAATCACGTGTTACAGCTTTAAAAAAATCCAAGAGAAATTGTTAAAAACATTATAATAAAGTAGAAAAAATACATATTTAATTTCACAAATTCTTAAAAATACAGGTTAAATTTTATGTATATAAATATTTTGCAAATGTTTTTAATTTTAAAATATATTTACACTTTTACACTCTATTTGCGCACAAGCCGTCGTGGCACTATTTTTGCAGAAATGTACATTTATTTTAAAAGAAAACACATAAAATATGCCATTTGTAAAATAAATCATTTATTTAAAAAAAACATAAAATATGCCATTTGTAAAATAAAAATTTTGTGACAAATTTAAATAGAATTTGTTGAAGAGTGTGTTTGAGCAGCGTGCCTCAGGTGAGAGCCTCTCACCTCAGTGTAGGACGCCGCTATGTGAGTCTCCGGTAACGGTTTGTTGTGGACCTCTCGGTCAGTGCTCTGGCCCAGGTGCAGGTTCAGTTTGTGGGACTCGAACACACCGCTCTCCTTTGCGCTCTTACAGTCCGACTCACTGGCCGGAACATCGTTTAGCACCAACCCCGGAGGAGTTCGAGGACATGCGGAGGACAGTGGCCGAGAGTCCTCACTCTCCTCCGCCTCTTCCTCCGGTGTTTTGTGCGTCTCCACGTCAACGTCCGGTTCTCCGTCGCTGTCCACGCAGGGGGACATGGATCTGTAACTGGAGCTCTCACTTAAAAAGTCGGGCGACAAATAACCCGTGCGACACCCGCCGCTGTATGCGCCTCGGTTGCCGTAGAGTTTAGCGATGCAGTCTGCGTCTTTTATGACGGGTCTGAAGGCGGAGACGTAGCTGATTTTGCGCGGCGCCAGCGCCATCGCCTCCAGCGGCCTCGACTCATCCCCGGACTTGTCGTCGTCGTTACGCGCGGACTGCGTGCTGGAGCAGCGGTCGTTTTCGGCCATGCTGTCCTTGGAGGAGCTGGTGCTACGGTCGCTGTGTTCGGCCACGTCGATGTCCGTCGGTCTGGGTGGACACAGCAGCTGTGGGGTGTGTTTGTGTGGAGTTTGCGGGTATGGAGGCATGGGCAGTGCGCCCGCAGTGGGCCAGAACATGGGGAAAGAGGGGTAGGCGCTGTCCTTAGCACCGGGCCACAGGACACCCGGCAGGCCCGCCTTGCCCTGCTCTTCGATCAAACCGTCTTCTTTTTTCTGACACAGACTAAAAGCCGGGAAGCCGTAAGGATGGGGGAAAAGTGGCGGTGGGATTTTTTGCAGCATCCCAAATCCTTTATTAGGCACCGGGATGACCGGGTAGCTGCGCGTGCTGCTCATGCTGCCGCGGGTGTCCTCACAGCTGAGGATTTTTGCAGGGATTTCGGGTGAGTCTCGGGGACGGCTGTGTCCATGGGATTTTAACGAGGAGCTGGAGTCCGAGCCACTGCCGGGCAGTGTCCTCTTCCGACTCCCCCCGTTGAACATGGCCTTCACATCTTCCCAGGCGTGTAGAACATCAGTGGGGCTGCCCTTGTCCGATAATTTAAGGTGTCGCCTCCAGGAATTGAAGTTGGCAGCATCTGGTTGTGTGTATTTGGACTCCGGTGTGCGGTGAGAGTGAAAGATGAATTTATTTGGAGAGAAATACATGTTGCAGTAGGAGCACTTGATGCACTTGGCCCTGGAGCTGTTGTATCGAGCCGGGATGAAGTTGCCTCGACTGCCCCAGGCGCACTCGTGGGACACGTCAAAAGCAAAATTCTCTGGAAGTTTAGGAGGCGAATGGGCCCCGAGGAAAGATTTACACAGTCTCTCTGCCTCACGTTTGGTGATCATCCCGCAGCGCCTGGAGGAGATAGGCATGGCCCCGGCCCGGCGGAGGATCTCCAGCTGGACCGGGGTGCACTGGACGCAGGTGATGCCCAGCGCCACGCGCCGGTTGTGGATCTCGTTGTAGCTGTAATTCTTCAACAAAGTGTTAGATATCTGCGCAAGACAGAGTCTCTCCTGGCCGTCGATCACCAAAGACACGATGGGTATTCCGTACAGCACCGTCTCGCCCACTTGGTTGGGCTTTAAGGTGGTGCTCGGGTAGGAAAGTTCTTGTTTGGAGCCTGGGGAAGAGCTGGAGTCTCGGCCCGCTGGGATGGGATCCATGCTGTTGGAGGCCTGAAGGCTGCGCAGAGGACGTACACATGTGAGTTTATAACTAAAAAAAATATATAGAAAAAAATAAACAGAGTTTAAGCTCCGATTTTATAAATGTCCTATAAAAGTCTATAAACAAAAACAGTTTTGATTACGGTTATTGACCGCACTGGTGAAGCGGGGACATATGAGGACGTGCCAGTCCTAGAATTAATGCCTTTAAATAACAGTAATATAACAATAAGTCAATAGGGGTTTACGTGAGGTTTTGTTTTATTAGTCCAAAAACTATAAATAAAATAATAACAACATAAAATAAAATATAACAAACAAAGTCATGACCCGGTTTAATGGACTAGAAGCGGCTCGGACTCACCTTCACTGTCCGCGCAGCTCCTCTCCGTGGTGGACAACAGAAGCGGCGATGAGGCGGCTGCGGTCAGAAGACGGATGCTCCTGCTGGAGTGAAGCTCTTTCACTCCGGACTGGGACGCAGCTGTCCGAGCAGCTCTGTCTCCTGACTGCGCTGAGCTGAGCTGAGCTGCGCTCCTCTCTCTCTCTCTCTCTCTGCTCAGCTGACGGCGTGTGCGCAGGGTTTGTGTTGCAGCAGCAGCAGCTTCAGCATCAGTATCAGCATCAGCATCGCGAGCGTCAGTGTCCACATGGCCTGCAGACTTTGGTACGGCCCCCCACCTTCTTTACGACACCGACAAGCAGCAATCAAGTGACGGCAAAACTTGAGGCAGGGCACTCCCACTCTCACAGGCAGACTGTGTGCGTATTAAGTATGGATTCATGACCAATGAAGGTGGCTTCGCCGCTCCGTCTTATAGCAGCCTGCAGGTGCACGATGCACACGCTTTGTTTACGGAGAAAAAGTGATTAAATCATTTCGGCTAATGAACGTTTCATTCATCGCAGCCTCTGAAGCCTCCACATCCTAAATAAAAACGCGGGGAACATCCACAGTATTCCCTCATTAATCTGGATTGTGTCCTCTAAAGGCGTTTAATTTATTCTTTTGCACTCTGTCTGAAAATAAACGCTATGAATAGAGCAGGCTGCAGGAGGAGTTGTTATTTTTGCCAAACGCAGCAGGGACCCGCGGACACACTGTTGTGCGCGCAGACTCGTCATGTGCCGGGTTCCCACGGACTCCGCCGTGTACACGCCGCCACACGCGTCCCGACAATGACCAGCGGCTTTAAAGGTCACTCACTGTGATATCTGCACTAAAGTGGCCCCTGCTCACGCTGAAGGCTCCGGGAGAAACACAAAGAAGGAGTCGGAGAGCCTGCAGCTCCGCCACAGAAGGGACGTTTAACTTTTGAAAGTCGATAACGGTTTGGGTTCATCATTTTGTCGTGAACACACGCTGAGCGCGGCGCACTGATGTAATATTGATGACGGTAACAGGACACGCAGCAGTTGGACATATTGACTCCAGAGGGACAGAGGTGTGGAAGTAACAGCACTTGTCTGGAATTATTGTATTTAGTTTTTGTATTATAATCATTGCGGGTTTTTACATTAAAAATATATATTTAAAAAATCCACTGACCTAAAGTTTGGGGATGGAATTTGAATAAAAAAGTATAGATCCAAGAGACAACCACAACAACAACAACAATAATAATAATAATAATAAAAATAATAAAAAAATAAAAAAATAAAATAATAATAATAATAACAATAATAATAATAATAATAATAATAACTAGATAAAATACCTGCTTTACTCATTGGCGTGTTTTATTCAAATTCACTCAACATGACACAGTGAACGTACCAACCATCCTAAAAACCTCCATCTTCTCCTCCATCTGCCTACGTATTGAACAGTTATGGCCTGTTAACCCTCAGCTGTCCTCGGCTCAAACCTCTTAATTAAAAGTGATTGTTCACAGTTCCTATGCAGCCATGTTTTTAATTCAAAAAAGAATAATCGTCAAAATATCGGTTAAAAATAACGCCTTAAATTGGAAGATGAATTGCTTTATGTTACAAAAAACCCGGAGAAATTAATTATGAATTACAAACGCAGCAAATGTTTCAAATGTGTGTGTGTGTGTGTGTGTTTTCATATAGCCAGTACGTGTTCTTTTTATGCCTCCATATTTAACCTCCACTTTAACCTCCGTGTTTATACAATAGCCCACAGTGGACAAACTAAATGCCTCTTGTGGTTTAACGCTAACTGAAGGCTACTCCCCGTGTTTGTATGTGGGAATGGTGAAATAAGGAATATTCCACCACGTGATGTACGTTCACCAGAGAGTGTACAGAATTCTGCACAATGCACCGTTTATCAGGTTAAAGTGTGTAAATAACGTGACAAAATTATTTACAGTGCAGTCTCATGTCAACACGACGATTCAAGACCACACGGGGGTGTGCACTTTTAAAAAATAATACTTTAATTTATAAGAGATTAAAAATAAAAAATAAAACATTTTTAATTGTCATTTTTCTTTTTATTTCCAAAGCTGTGATTTGTTCAAATCAGGAGCCACGTTTGATCACCACCTTCTGTCATTGGCCAAAATTAATTTATAATATTTTGGGTTGTAACAATAATTAAAGGCTACCTTGTGATTGGACCAGAAACTCTGACACATTATCACCAGTTTCTTAAAAAAATACAACACAATTTACCTTTAACATTGGTTTGAAAACCAAACATCACAACATGGAAATCTGTTAACGTGTCACACTGACACAGGTCAGGCCACGAGTCCAAAAGTCAATCCAAAAAGTCAGTGAGGTCATTGTCAGGAGCCTGGATAAGCTCTTACCTTTCCGTGCAGGAGAGAAGAGCTCATTTAAAAGTGTGTCTGCATTAATCACAGTGCTGCATCAAAGTATGATAATCACCTGAACACTCTATTAAAATAAAAGTACCAGCCCAGGGGAAATCTTACCTTACTCTTTAATTGTTTTGAGGCTTTGATAGGCTTTTTAATCTAAGATTAATTTATGCATTCTTAAATAACTCTACATATGATTAATAAGCTTGAAAATTAAAAGGAGACTGAAGCAATTATAACAAGTGGTTGGTCATCACCTCATTAGAGGTAAAATGCACTTTGTGCATCTGCGGGTGATTGCATGAGTGAGTGAGTGAGTGAGTAAATACGTTGCTTTGATGATAATCACCGCGAACGGGAAACTCTTAGTAACTACTTGTTTTATTTGTCAGATGAGCGACTGTTTTGCACTAATTTATAATTAACCTGACATAACTTGTTGGGTTCCTGCTGTAAAAGAATGTTTAGATCATTTACAGATGACCAGAGTGTTGATCCTGAATGGACACTGAACCAGAAGCTGGACAAAAGCGGACGATCGGCTGGTTTAGAGGCCACCAGAGAGAGGCAGTGAAAACGGCGAGAATTGCTAAATGGTCGCTAATGTGTAAACAAGACATCACTCCTCTCCTGCTCAGATGTTTATTTGTCTCCTAAAAGCCCACCCCTGGGTCCTGACCCACACATCCTCCACCACTAAACACAACATTTCTTCTCACAGGAGGAGGCTTGAAATGTGTGTTTGCACATGAGTGTGTGTTGGAGGGGCCGGGGGGGGG